ACAACAAGCTCAAAAGGCTGGGGTTCCCAATGTAGCTGTTAGCATTAACTCCCACTATTGCTGCTACTACTACGACTACTGCTGCTACTGCTACTGCTACTGCTGCTACTACTGCTGCTACTGCTGCTACTGCTCCTGCTCATGCTGCTGCTGCTACTACTGCTACTACTGCTGCTACTGCTACTGCTACTGCTCCTGCTCCTGCTGCTGCTGCTGCTGCTGCGACTCCTTCTTGTTGCTAAGTACAAGGCCACAGTAGAGCTCAGGTTTAAGAAAGCTTGATTCAGCCCTGAAGAACCTTGCGCCGTGAAGGGCTTACTTGAAGTGAAAGCCGCAAACCGAATCAAACGACATTTCTACGTAGATTGTTGCCGCAATCTGAGTACTATTGGGAACCTACTGGGATGGAGGCCATCGCTACAGTATTGGAGGCCATCGCCAGTAGCAGGTCTAAAAGAAAGAAAGGAAGGACGGAGTAAACGCATCGCTGACTCAGGGTTGCATTTGACAACCGTCACGCTCCTCAAAGAGCTGGCGAATTGATCCGCTGGCGGCAGAGCTTTCCTTCTGTTGAAAAATCGCCACGACAGCTGCATCAAGCTCCTGATTCCACACGTAATCCGAGGGATGGAGCTTTTGCAAGGAGGTTTTCTTTGGAAATGGCCTCCAACCTAAGAGCGATGGTCTCCAACCTACTAGCGATGGCCTCCATTCCACAAGGTTGTTTCATGACGAAAGGAGGTCTTCTTTGGGAACATGTTGGCAATCCTCCGATGCTTCCCCATAGAGCCTCCAATCCTCACTGGCAAGTGGCAAAAGGAAGACGAATCACACAGCTCACTCCATACAGCAGAAATATGCGGAAAATGCAAACATGTCAGATCTTTCCTATGGGTTTGCCTGGCATACACCTGTGTCAAAAGCACGATTGTTCGGGCTTCCTTGAAATCTGGATGCTTCCTGACATCATGCCGCGCTTGTGCTAGTTGCAGCCGGAGAGGAGAGAAACACGAGGGCAGCAGCTTTGGAGCGGTGGTTTTAATCAACCAGAAAAGGCCAGCCTCAGCTGCTATTTCTACGTAAGTTCTTGGTGACTTTGCTTCTTAGTCAAGTCTGCTTAAACCGAATTGCTTGCCAAGATGCATGGCCGGCAAATGGAAGTGGCAGGGCGCAAATAGCTGTGAAGGGTACCAATGTGACTGCATCACTGGCCGCACGTTTCAGCCAGCATGTCTCAAGGCTTTGCAAAGGGCCTTGAAAGCTCTTGGCCAACAGCCGGCAGCTGTACCTCAAAGGGCGCATTCCACCCTGGGACACTTGGACAGAAGTGCATCATGTTTTGAAAGCTATTGAAGTTGCTTGTGCACCATGGGTTGAACAACTTGCGTGATGTTTTGCCAGCTTGCAGTACCAACCAACAAGGGCCAAGCTAAAGGCAAACTGCAAGGACGTATATCAAACAAATTAGAGGTTGGCAAGACTCGGATTTGACCAAGACTTGGTCGAACATGGGTTCACTCAGACAGGCCTGGCCTGATGTCTGCGCTCAACATGTCAATGCTGTCAGACAGCTGTCGTAGAATTAGCCCAAGAGCGCCTTACAGTGACAATTCACACTTGAGGCATTGCTGATGCATACCTTCTGATGGCTGCGCACGAAGGAAGTCAGCAAACAACAACAATGCCAACTGACTGTAGCGAAACTTAGTGAAACAAACGCCCTCGCGTTTCACAGGGTGAAGGCACTGAGAAAAGCCGGCTTTGCCACCATTTGGTCAAGCTCCGAGGCAACTTCCGAAACCTTGGTGCAGGAATTCAACCCTTCAGTTTCAACCTCGAGCCAACATTTCCAGTAACGCGGCAACTGTGTTCCCACCACCGGTGCTGTACCACTCCACTTGTTCAAAACAAAAGGAGTGAAGCATACCTGAAAGGCATACGCAATTGAACACATTTCCACACCCAGGCGGTTTCAGCCTGGAACATGCAAGTTAGAAACTGTTTCGTGGTGGTTGGTGCCCCTGTTGAGACCTGCAATGTCATGGGTTTCTTGGCATGCCTTTTGGAGCAAAGGAGGGTCGTAGTAGGTTGTGATGTAGGTGGCCACTGGGGTGCAACAGCAAACTGCCAAAAGCAGAAGAAACAGTAGGAGATGATACAAAATGATGATGATGATGATGATGATGATGATGATGATGACAATGGTGCTCACATAAAGTAGGTGTGACAATCTCAACATATATTTGTGGGGCTCCATGTGCAACACTCTTGCAGGGACACTCTTGTAGGACACTGTTGTGGGACACGGGACATTTTTGTGGGACACCTTTGTGAGGAATTCTCGTGGGACACCCTTCTGGGCACCCTTGCTTGAAATTTGTGAAGCCATGATCGGGCGCCCTTGTGCAGTAGGAGACTCTTCTGGCAACCCGCCACTCATCCGCCACTCATCCTGCTCCGACGGCGCTTTCCACCAAGGCTGCGCCAATCTGCATGGCACAGCGACATTTCTTCGCCGCACCGCTCGCCACAAACCAGATGCAAGCATGGCACATGCCGCGTTTACGCACGCATTTTTCCTCTCTCCCGGCCCATTGGCGCAAAGCCACGCAAACGCACTTTCCACCAAGGCCCGGCCAATTTGCGTCGCCGACATCACTTCGCCAGTTCTGTCTTGGCTCGGAAGCTTCCCGTACTAGATTTGTACTACACACACTTTGGAGACTCCCACTTTGATTTTCGACGACAGCTGACAGCTACACACTTTGGCAACTTCCACTGTGATTCGACGGCAGTTGCGCACTTTGGCGAATCCTGAACCTTGAGTTTCGACGACAAATGCCCACTTTGGTGTTCCACTTTGACTTTCGACGACAGTTTTGGACTCTTTGGCAACTCAGAACTTTGATTTTTAATTTTTGACAGCCGTTCCACGCTTTGGCGACTCGACACGTACGATCTCCGCAAAGGGTTGCCCCAGGCCCAAAGACAACCCTCAATACTAGTTTTACACGTGCGAGGCGCACAGTCGCCGCACAAAGGGTCGCGCTTTGCGCTTAGAAATTCAGAAAGGCTTCCATTTATGGTTGTGTAGGTGAATTTTGTAGGCGTCTTCGCCTGTATCTCTACACCTGTGCCTGCACACCTGGCCAAACACCTGTATCTATGCAGGTCAGTTCTACCAGTTGCATCACCTGCATCTCTACACCTGCATCATGATGTTGATGATGATGATGCTGCTGCTGCTGATGATGATGATGATCCGATGATGATGGTTGGACAGTTGAAGTTGGCAACCGCTCTTTGAGAACAATCCATCGCAGGTGCTTTCGGGAAAAAAACACAAGCAAACACATGCAACAAAAAAACCACATGCAACATCTGAACCGTCCAACAGCTAAGGTTTTAGTTGTCCCATGGATGTCCCAACTCCTGCGTACTGTCTGAACAACTAAGACCTGGAACTCTGGTGTCCGAGAGCTGGACAAGGACTGCAGCAAATTCAATAAACTCGTCCAGGGAGAGTTCTGAATCTTGATCGCTATCCAAACTTGCTAGGAAGGTGGCACCGGTATTTGCAAGTTCAAGCTCGAGCTCGTGTGGAAGCCGCAAGGCTCCCCTCCATAGCAAACGCCTTGTTGACTAAAACCAGGAAACACAAAAGCAATGTTCCAGGAACCAATTGACAAAATGTTGTTCTGAAACTTTGACCCTTAAAGACAAAAGTAAATAAAAGTAACAAATACCGTTCTGAGAACTTCGAAGAAACATAAGCTCCAAGGCAGCAGCACAGGAAACTTTTTGGCTGTAGCGACGGCCCGCGTAGGCTCCGAGCTTTTCGCTACTGGAGTTCGTGGTGCCTTCCTCCCTCAAGCCTCGCAAGCCTCGCACTCGCTGTGCCAGCTTGAAGCGGGCATCTGCACTACGTGGTGCCTGTCGCAGGGTCTCAAGCAACTTGGGATCCTGCAGCCAGTCTGCAATAGCTGTAACCTCTTGTGCTTTGGCAGAAACACCTGTAGCCTCTTGCTGCTTCCGCTGGATTTCAGTTTCTGAAGTGAACTCAAAAGCAGTTTTCAGGCGTGAAGGCTCTGCTTGCGACTCGTTTTCATCTTGTCCGAAAAGTTGATCTTCGACCCGACCGACAGGTGATGGAACTGCAGCATTTCTCTCACTGAAGCCTTTAGACTTCGTTTGGTTCCAAGCACTTCTCCTGCCCCGATTTGTTGTATTGTCTTCCTCCGATTTGTTGTATTTGGTCCGGGCCTCTGGGTGGGATGCACTTAAAGGAAACAGGATCCGCCGATCAAAGCCGAAATCCCCCGGAGTGCCACCACAAAACAGTGTGCCCCCAGGGCATTTGGATGAACGGACGAAATTGAAAGGTGTGAAGCACATGCTGAAAGGCTTGAACAGTCTTCTGGGGAGCCACTCGCAAACCACAAGTGCTAGCGCCGCTAGCAGCACACATGCAGCCCAACGAACGCTTGAGGTCTTTGATCTTGAGGGCCTCTGGAGCTTCATCTGAGGCCAGTGATCACTTTCTCAAGGGCAAAGCACATCAAAGCACCAAAGTGAGAGAAGTTCTCACGGTGGCTTCAAACGCCGTCCACCTCACACCCTGATTGCGCTTGAAACTTACCAGTGTTGCCATGAGCGTCTACTACCGCACCATCATCCGTCCAACAAGACATCGTTGCAAAACCAAACATTGACATGCAGGCTTCCAAACATCACGTCATATTTTGCAGATTGGACCTTGGACATGCCGATGCATCAAAAGAATATAGTAAACAAAGTCAGTGCTAGCTTTGTCGGTGTGGCTGCTTAGCATGACAGTACTATGCCCAAGCCAATTTTGAAGGTGTTCAGAGCCATTGCAAGATCCTCGCTGCGATGAGGAAGAAAGGCAGCGCAGTGACACACATGGACACACACACACACACACCAAGGTGCACTAAAACTTGAAGGATGGGGTGTTGAACAACATGTGAATATACAGTGCATGATTCTTTTTCCAATGTGAGATCTGCTTTCTGCTGGTCCTCTGCTCCATACGCTCGTCCGCGTGGCCTCTCTGCTCACAGCGTCACCTTGAGCAGTAAACTCCAGGTCGAAGACCACTTTGCATCCACGACTTGCGGAGGGAGGGCGTTCTGAACCTTTCGATTTAGCAAAAAGATCCGTGACAGGCGTGAGAGGCGGAACGTGTCCCGTGTTTTCCTCGTGCTTCCTTTTGCGGCCTCTGGTCATATCTCACGTCACATCTTGGCCCATGCAAGGCCTTGTGCAGTCTTCAAAGTGATTGTTGTGGATCCTTTGGACTCAATCTGTAACAGGTCGGCATACACCGTCGCCCATTCGGAGCGTCGTCGATCGTCCACGCGCCGACGGACTTCGACGGAGTCCGTCGATCGCACTCCACCGGAGTCGAAGAGGCGGCGAGTTTCACTGATCGACCTCAAAGCCCGCGCCACTTCACGATCCAAGGCAGTGAAAGCCCGTGGAAGTTGAGCTCGATGATCTTCATTCAAGTCAAGGTTCAACAAGTTTTGGCGTTCTGCGTCATAGCCAGCAACTGCTGCTTCAACACAAAGCATCAAGCTAAACAAGTGGCTGGTGCGGGTGCTGCAAGAAGCCAAACTGGCCCTCTCGGCCGATTTCATTCGCTCCGTCCAATTCTTTGCAATTGATTGTTTCAACCATTTGTCCCCATTCTCTTGCAACAATTTCAAGACTTTACGATGTTTCGCGATCGCAGTGAGGCGACGCCTGGCAAAGTCTGCTTCAAGCTGGAGCTCCGTTTTCTGCCCATCTAGCATCGCAGTGGAAGTCTTGAAAGCAATGGAGGGCTCCGTAGGAGCTCTGAGGACATCAACTGCGTTCGTCCACATTTCCATCCTCTTCTCAAGTTCCACCGGCTCTGGTGCTTCTTCTGTCTCATTCTCCAAAGGCTTCATTGGAGAAACTTCGATGTCCCCATGAGGGCTACCGACTTCAGCCACTCTTCCACCATCGGCAATGGCCCCCTGTCCGCCTGCTCCAGGTCCAGTTAGGTGTAGGTGACGCTCTTGATCATCCAAAGTCTCAACCACTGTCTTTTCTATCCTGGCCTCTGCGGCCTCCATGAAGTCTCGTGCAAAATGTTGAATTTCCAGCGGCTTCAGCGAAGCTTTGCTCAATGATTGCTCGGGCAATACGGGAACATCTGTAACCTCTGGAACTGCCAAAGCAGCAGACTTTGGCTTCGGTTTTTGGAAGATTTCATGCAGTCGACCGCGCAAAACAGAATCGGGCTTCATCGTCCCTTCGAGTCCTTCGGCCCCTTTGGGCTTTGTGACTTTCGGTCTCTCAGTCACTTCGAACCTTTCGTCGAACCTTGCGTTCCAACTTTGATTCCTGCTTTGTGACACGCTTTGTGACACTTTATCTTGCATGCGATCTTTGCGGCTGGCCTTGTTTACCTGCGGGCTGGGGGGCTCACAGGCGCTTGTAGTATCATGGTCCCAGGTGTTAATTGTAGTACCATGCTTGTCTCCAGGTTCTGTTTCCGGCTTTGGACATAATGGCAAGTGGTCGGGCTGCCAGGCTGCTTCCACATCCTTCTCCAGTGTCGCCAAGGCTTCTTCTGCAGCTAAGACATTGGCACGCGCTGCCAACAAAAGCTTTAAATGCTCATGAAAATCATCAAAATGTGCCGCATCCGCATTGACTGCAACTTTGATTGCCATGGCTGCTTTTGAATCCGAAGCACTTGAAATGGCGTCCACGGAACGATTTTGCAATGGGTGATCTGTGCAATTTGCCTCTGGAGGACATGTTGCAACTCTTTGGGCCAAAGCACATGGACGGAAGGTGGTGCTCCGGTCTGTGGTGCCTGCGGTGTTACCACCTTTCCACGTGCCAGGAACTCCATCAAATGCTCCAGTGGTGTGACTGCGTGAATTCACAACACTTCTTTCCCTTGTAGAACTCCAAACCACAGAGGTGAAGCTGCCGCTCAGGCTGCCTTCTTCATGCGAAGCAACTTCCAAATGACCTTGTGGAAGGCACACATGCGACGCATTGCTCACCCCAAAACTCCCCAATTGTCTTTCCAGCTTTGACGCCTCAATTGCCCATTGTTGCTCTTGTTGCACAAGCTCCACTCTGACAGCCTCAAATCTAGCCCGTTCTTGTGACTCCAAGAAAACATGCAACTGATGAGCCAAGCGAGCGGAGAGTTCAGCACGGCGCTTGCGTCCTCCAACGCTCGCCTGGTCCATTTACATCGGCTTCGCCATCCATTTGCGCCGTCAGCTGCTCAAGTCTGAAGTGCTTTCTACGATTGTAATGAAGTGCGTTCTAACGTATTTTTTAGTTTTACTGCTGTGTTCGTGTTGTGGGTTTGCTACAGTTGAACTTCTGGACACGATCCCTTGCATCTACAACCCTCCAAAATCCAGCCGTCTTTCCTGACCTAGACCTTGACTTTCTGCTGTTGCTGACTGGCTGTTTCGCGCAGCAAAGCCCTTTAAAAAGAAGCTAGCGGAAAAGGTGGCAGGATGGTGGGTGGTAATGAACTTTGCAGTCAATCCAATTGCATCTTTGCAGAAAAAAACAATATTTTCCACTCAAAGATTCATCTTCCACTTGACTGCGACTGGACACAAGTAAAAAATGACAGGAGCCTTGCCAATCCTTACCGCCTCCCAACACGCCCTCACTTTTCCGAATGTGCCATCAGGTTTGCTCGGATTGACCCTCTGCCGAGTGGCTTGCTTTGCATGTCACTGGCTTTTGAGCCTTGCTTCCAGACATGGCAGAGCTGATGCAAATCTGACATAGACATATGCTTCGCCAAAGACAGTAGGCAATAACTCCATGGCTATCAAAAGTGAGTATTGAAATCCGACATCCCGGACCCCAAGTTTCCAACAACAACATACATAATTAATTACTATTGCTCATTTTCTGCAGAATGCTGGAGGCCCGCCCGGCTTATTGCCCAAAACGGTTAGTTTTACCTCAAAGCGTGAATAAAGGTAGATGCATCCCCAAACCCCAAAGGGAAACAACCAAATGCATGCGGTGTGTAGCCGACTCAAGGGATCAAACTCGTCCAAAACCCAACTTTCCAAAGGGCCATAGAAAAGAATATATAGTAATGGCGTCCAACCTACTAGCGATGGGCTCCAACCTAATTGTATTGGCCATCCTGATAGCGATGGCCTCAGATGAACACCTCTACCCCGCTCCCATCGATTCAACATGATTCAACAATCGAACTTACAAAGAAGGCGCCCGGTCTCCGAAATTCTTCGAGAACCGTCCTTGTAGCGTCCTTGCTCCTAGTAGTAAGGCCAGGAGCCCCTAGTAGCGTCCTTGTTCCTAGGCAGTGCAAAAAAGTCAAGTGCAAGCACACCTGCGATTTCAAGGTTTCCATGCGGACGTGCGCACGCACACACACACACAGGCACAATCTATGCATAGCCGCAAGTGTATACATAGGTAGACAGACTTACACAGGTACACTCTGATGCTCTGAAAGCACAAGGGCATTAGTGACGGCGTGCTAGCATTCACAGCACCACTGCTGCTGCATCTCACAGCAACATGATTGCAACCAAAATTGAACTCTCCTGAAGGGAGTAAGAGAAGGGTGCTTAGAAGCCACATGAGGTGTACTGCCCATTTTCCGCTGCACTGAAAGTACATGCTCTATAAAGCTCTATGAAACCTGCAGTTCCCTTTTAGCTCAGAAGCACCCCGTGAAAGCACCCTTGATTGAAAATTGGTTCAACGGAAGCCGTGTATTCCCGCTTTGGGGAGTCTCCTTTAAGGAGACACAGCACAGCACTAGGCACAGCTTGAAGCTATGCGGAAGCTATGCGGAAGCCATGCGGAAGCGCCAAGCAGCCACCCCCGATTTGGCCTTGAGCTGGCTCCAATCAGTCTGGACCCCGACCTGGCATGTGTTGAACGAGGGGTATTGCTGAAACGAAGTCCATTTCAGAAGAGTACATGTGTCGACGAACAAGGCTCAACTCAGTAAAGCTCACACACAAAGCATAGACCTAGGACCTAGCTGTAGAATTTACATCTGCATAAGGTGCCTGGATAAGTGGCGTTGAGGCCAAACAAAAGAAGATTGCATTTCGATTCTTAGATTTTTCATCAGCTCATTTAGGATCATCTTTGCTCATCAGCTTTTCAAATGTGGCATAGTTGTCGCCTCTTGAAGTCCTGAGAGCATGGCTGTGTAGTTGAGCCGTGTCGTCAGAAGATCTGAGATCGAGGCGGAGAACAGGGCTCTGACGCCAGGTTCACCTGTGTTCGCTACGTTCAAAAAGCATCGACAAGGATAGAGAAGGATACAACAAACATTTGTTTCAGAAGCTCACTAGAATGCCGAACAAATGATGCAATCATAATGCTACTATGGCTTCTAAAGTCTTTTCAGCAGCTCGAATCAAGGACCGCTCGTGTGGCAAAGGCCACTGGTCACCCAATGCGGTTTACAAGGACGGACAGAAAACACAAACAAGTCTCCCACAAATGCGAGGACGTGACATTTCCAAAAACAAACATGTCAACGAAATATAGAACCGCCACCCTCACATGGTCCTGACCGCATTGTATTGAGGAGGGGGACTTGCCACCAACGCCGTAGGTAGGTCATCTTCCCTCTTCCAAAGACCACGGCAACCTTTACTTGAATGTCACCGGACATTCCTGAAATTGTCACCGGCCCTGCCGTGCAAGGTAAAACCTGCAAGGATGCTATGCGGCATTGATGTCTTCAGCAAAACAGCTTTAGCCAACAAGTTGAATTTTAATCTGAAATCTGAACTATCATTTTGCCGCACTCCAGGACTTGCTCACCACGCTTTGGCATGATGAGCCAGGAACTGTCAAGAGAAGGCAAGTGCTCTCAAAGTGCTCTCATTCTGGATCAGTTGAGTCCAGCGTGACCTCGCCATTTCTGAGAAAAAACACGCACACCTTGTTGAACAACAACAATAAACAATTACTACCCATGGCCTTAATGATGCTGCCTTTGTACTCTACCTTATTCTGACCCTCCTTCACCTGGCGCAATGAAGAGCATCAGCTAGAGCAAACTGAACACGTTTCTCATGTCACTGCCTTGCTGACTTCTGCCAGCGTCAGCCAACGATCTCCTCTTCGATAATGACATTGCTCTAGCGGGTGCACAAAGTTGGAGAACCTCGGACGGCCACGAGCCACATGTTCGATGTCTGAGCCAACAGGCTCTGAACATGCACACCAACAGGGTCTGCAGTGAGTAGCGCCATACGGTCATGTTACAACTTGCCAGTTTGTGAGGGAGTTGAACTGCTGAATGACCGGGGCAAGGATGCTATTTACTACGGGCTCCTGGCCTTGCGACTAGGAGCATTCTTGCTGCTAGGAGCAAAGGGCACCGCTACTAGTAGCAAAAAATGCAAACATGCCTCCCAGTTCAAACCTTGAGTTGTGCACGATGCGGCAACCACCTACTGCAATATATTGGAACAGCAAAGGTTGATGAACACGGAGGATGCTTGACCTCCACACCAAGACTTGATGAACGTGGGGTGGTGAAGCCAAGTTTGGACCATGAGCAGCCCGGGGCATGGACGGCGCACCCTGGCACACCAGGGTGTCACAACAAAGGAGCCATCCATTGCGGTCCTGGTCCTGCAGTCCTACACCTCACCCTTTGTCCCCAGTTAACTGAAAGGCATTGACAGAGTGGCTGATCGGCGTTTGTCTACGGCTGCTGCAGCAGCTGCTGTTGACTTTGTCTCAAATGCTTCTGTTTTCTTTAATGGTCAGTTGCTATCTGGGCTCTATACCCTTATGAAGCACCCTTTTCGCAGTTTGGGAATAAGCCATACCGCATCAACTCTGCAGCTGCTCACACAGGGTTGGGGTTCAACTTACATGCTTATGTGGACACTTGGTGCTGAAGGTCGTGGTACGTGCTGAACGACATAAATCCTGAGGCCATTGCTAATAAGTTGGAGGCCATTGCTATTAGGTTGCAGGCCATCGCCGATAGGTTGCCATCGCTAGCAGCTTGGAGGCCATTGCTACTAGGACGGAGGCCATCGCTACTATGGTGGAGGCCATCGCCATTAGGTTGGAGGCCATCGCTAGAAGGTTGGAGGCCATGGCTACTAGGGTGGAGGCCATCGCAATTAGGCTGGAGGCCATCGCTAGCAGGTTGGAGGCCATCGCGAGGTTCTTTGAATCCAACAAATGCTGTGAGCTCTTGAGCGCCCTGTCAAGTAGTTGTCCACTGTTGAAACTGCCATTGAGGTCTCTCAGTGTGTCATGGTCTTTATGAACCAAACATTTGTTCGATCTGTAGGGCGATGCTTCCTGCAAAAAATGTTGCTTCTGAAATGTGCTTTTGGAATGCTAGCAAAACAATCTTCCAGCTTGCCATGACTAGAGCCAGCCAATCTTCCTGCAAGCAAAATACATCCTCAAGACACGGTTGGGTCAATTTGAACACATAATTGTTACTAGCTGGGTGTGGTGGGGCCAGTGAGCTGTAAACAATTTAATTCAACCAATTGAAAACAACAACATCGCCCTCCTTTGTCACCTTGTTGCAAAAATCGTCCTCCCCCTCCTTCTTCTCCTGAAAGGACATCACCCCCAAACAGCTGTACCTTGACCTGTTTTTAGGGTTCTTTCTCATTTGAATTGGCACTTTTGCTGGTTGTATTGGCTTTTCTCCGCTTGTCGCCCGTTGTCCCCGGTGGTGCTTGAGTCGCCTCTTTTGCGGTGTCCCCGGCGCTGCGGTGGGCGCAGGGTGGACGCTGAAAAACAAAAGAACGGTTAAGAATTACTTTAAACAAAAAATGAATTCTAGAGTGAACTTTTAAAAGAGCTGTTTAGAATGGCACCTTGGTCTTGGATGTGTTTTTCTTCTGTTTCTTTTTCCTGTTTAGGGTCTACACTGGACAAAACATTTCAAACAAAAAAAATCTCAGCACAAATTCTCCGTGGGTCTTGGAAGCTTATCCCATACCTAAACATAATTCCTTTGCATCGTGTCCTCTTGATGCTGCATTTCTTGGTGAACACCCTTTCATGAAAAATGGCTTCTTTCGAGTAATACACTCTCTCCTCTTCAAATCTCATTCACCCTTTACCAATGTCTCATCTTGGGAAGAACGCATCCTTCTTCCAAAGCTCTTTTACTTGGGAAGAACGTGTCGAATGAAAGCCGCGGGCTAGTCGAAGCAAGGCCGGGAGTTAGCACCTTGTGCTCGGCTGATCTTGGTACAATCAGGTCTTGCTCTAGGCTGTGTTGCTCTTGTGCGGTCCATTGATGTCCATTGTGTTTATGAAGGCGCCCAGTCTATTTTAGATAACCCAAATCTGTGACTGACTGACTGAGACCTCCCCACCAATTTCACGTGCGATAAATGCCGAAAACGCTCTCTTTGACCAACCCCCCCAAACCAACATACTCCAAAACCACTCCTTCGCAAAACAGGCGTGTGCTCAGCGTCTCTCTCTCTCTCTCCCCCTCATTCTCTCTGCCTTTGTCCGTCTCCCAACCCTGTTTTGAAGCCGTTTTAATTCCTCCTACCGCGGCCAACGTTCTTCTGCTCATGCATTGGTCTACGTTCACGGTGTGGTCTGCCCAAACTCAATAGGACCGCCCTCGAAAGTGTCACTGTGGCCCGCTTAGCAATTCGGGCAAGTTAGATCGGCTAGGCTACCTGGCTACCCTGTGATTCAACAAAGCTTGTTTTCTCTGTCTTCCCGACATGTCAGTTCAGCCGATGAACAGTTGCCTGAGGACATTCCCCTTGCCACTCCATGGAACAGGTATCAACGAGACGTTCCTGTCTTTGGCACTGTTCTGGCTCTCCTCGGCCACTTCCTTAGCTCAACATGTTGGAGCTCTCATTGCAAAACGGCCCAACTGATGCCGAGAAACCAACAGACTCCCATCAAACTTCTGCACCGCTGAGAAGGCATGCTCTGCCGAGCTGAAGTCGATTTGCGCAAACGATTCTGATACGACGCAGCTCTCCACAGGTCCGACCTGTGAGGTTTCGCATAGTCAATGACATGCTGCATTATACGCCTTACTTATGTCCAAGGGGCCACATGTCACTTGCAAGACTGAACAAGAATCTTTTGTATTGTGTTGAAGCCACCTGTGAAGTGAAGGCATCTTGAAGCTCCCATTTTCGAAGCCCGCGAATCAAGTTTGTGACTCGCACAGTGCGGCACCTTAATGCGCAGTAAGTTTTGTGAAGCGCACTGTGCGGTGCCAAAACCGATGAACACATTCTAGCGCACTGTGCATCGCTAGTAGGTTGGAGGCCATCGCAATTAGGTGCATCATGAACAACAGCTGAACAAGTCGTGTTTTTCTTTTCCCCTTTGCATTGCCATCAAGGGAACGACAGCTGAGCAGGAGTCAAAGGCAATACTTCCCAGGCCGCAAGCTGCGGAGATTGAGCTTGAACCGTGACCACCTGAAAGAAAACAAGAATTGGCCACCTAACATTTTTATTTTACATGGTTATGTAACATGCTTGTATAACATTGGGCATGGCCTGACACCAACGCGGACTTGAGTGTCTTACAAGCAAAACGCCCCCTTAGGCTGCTGAAACAACGGTGTGGTGATTTGGTCACGTGTTGCCGTCGTTGCTGTTGTGTCTGCCGCCGTTGTTGTTGTTGTTGTTGCCGCTGCTGCTGCTGCTGCTGTTCACCACATGTCATTATGTGGGGTTCTTGGATTTACTGTCTGTCCCGCCTCCTTGACCTCCCCTCCTTCTCCTTCCCCTCTTCCCTCTACCAACTTCATCACAAAAAAACAACTTAAAAACAACAAACTTGATCACACCACACTTCATCGCACCAAGTTTGAACAACACTCGGGCACAGCATTTGTGTTACAAAAGTGCTACGTTCGCGTGATACATCACACATCATCACACCATGACCCACGCCTCAGAGCCAGTCTTGGAGGCGTCCTTTGACTTCGTACTTTCATCTTTCAATCGGAGATTCGAAGCCACCTGAGGACGCTACGAACCTAACATCGGGCATCGCTACTAGTAGCAAGGACGCTACTAGTAGCTCCTGGCATTACTAGGAACAAAAAAACTACGATACTAGTAGCTAGGAGGCACAAAAGGAAAAATCCTCTTGACGGTTACAGTAGCAGGAGTGACCATTAGCTTGAACATGTTCCTCCACTGTGCTTCTTTGCGCGCAGGAACACCAAAAGGGTGCTTATGGAACACATGCTCACGATTCCATGAAAGTGTGGAAAGGCAGTCCAAACATTCACCGTTCTTTTTCTTAATTCTGTATGTCAACACTATTCACAAAGTGTTTAGTTTTTTTGCAACATTTTGAGCAGCACGCCACAATTCTTTGGCAAAGTAGATTTCTGTCAACTTAGGATTGATGGCTTGTTTGGGTTTAAACCGTGTTGAGCTCCTGATGCAAACTGATCCACGAAATGAAACTATGAGCACGTTGGAGCAGTCTGCCTGAAATTTGAAAAGCTTTGGTGTGCTGGTTGCTGTTAGGAGACAGCAGGTGGTCACAAAGAACCCAATGGTCAAACATGAACAGCTTTGGCCCGCACCTCAGGATCCTCAGGCAACAAGAACACTGACTTGGTCTCCTCCTCAGCTCCTGAGCAATTCGTCTCAACCCCCCATGGTTGGCATGGCAAGCTGACATTAGTCAGAATATGTCGGGACGTGTTCCTTCACTATGCACACCTCAGGTCTTGGCTGCTCATTCTTACGGATTCAAGAACAAAACTTATTCTTACACCTATTTACGTCCTAGCGATGACCTATTTACTGACACCTATTTACGTCTATACATTTGCAAGAATGCGGGTGGTTTGCCTTGCCCAAGCGCTGCTCGACCGTTGAGCGTGCTCAATGCATTGGGCTAAGCTGCGTAAGCCTGACATCCCTTGCAGCGGGTGCGCTTCCTTGAACAAGTGTGAGTTGGCGCCCAGTAGCCAGTAGCTTACGTAGCTGTTGAGTTGGCGCCTACTTAATTATTTAAAAAATAACTTGCACAGGCTTGGACATTCGTTCTCAGCAGGTCTTCCAAACGCTGGTGCTTGCTTAACATGAACAGGGAACTGCTTGACATAGCGCACAACGTCAAACCATGGGCTTTCGACTGCGAATGCTTTTAATGTTGCCTGAGTTTCATCAAGACTAGAGCTAGCGTGTCTGGCTCGCTGCATGGCTTGACGTTGACACGCAAGCTGAAAGGGGGAGCTTCCTTGAAAACGCCTACGCAAGCTTGTAGCTTGCTTAGCCCTTACTCAATTAAGTAGGTGCCTACTCCATTAAGTGAGTGGGAGGGCAACGGGCAAAAAAGGAAAAGACAGAAAACCAAACTTCAACTTTGCAGTCCTGGCTTGCCTGACGGAATGCCTGGTTCATTCGACCTCTGGACTTCCTTAGTGGACCATTGCACCGTCTACATGTTTGCGAATCTGAGAATGCTGAGAACTTATAGTGTGAGAGCTTGAAACAACTTGATGCCTGCTTCATATCCTGAAAAGTGACTGCAATGCTTCAAGTGCTTTCTTGCTAGGGCGCCAGAAAGGAAGCAAGGAGCTCTGCGACAGAGATATCAAGGTTCAAACTCAGTGACAAACTTGGAGCTCCCGAGGGGCCTAGGCAAGAAGAGTATATATCATATATACATACACTGAAAGACGGGGTGTATTGACCTGCAAACAGCTCAATTTGAGAGGGTCAGGCAAGCTTCTTCAAGGAGGCCTCTCCAGCCCTTTTGGGCAGGGGGAAGCTGCTTGGACCCTTGCAGTTCAAGTTTGTTGATGTTGAATGTACAGCCAAGGGTATCTTCTTACATCTTCTTACTAGATGTAAAACGGCATGAATGCAAACAGAAAGGTCGGAAGGTCAAACTTACTGTAAATGATAACTCTTTACTTACACCTATTTACGTCCTAGCAATGGCCTCCAACCTAAGAGCAACGGCCTCCAACCTACTAGCGATGAAATCAAAGTGAAAACACTTCCATGCTCAGCCTGCTCAGCCTCTAGGAGCATTCTTACTACTAGTAACAAGAAGCTACTAGGGGCTTCTGGCCTTACTACAAGGAGCAAGAAGCTACTAGTACTAGTTACTAGGGGCTCCTGGCATCGCTACTAGAAACAAGGACGCCTGTTTTCTTTTTTCTTGAATCCAGCACCGTCTCAGGCCTGCGACTCCCAGACCTCCCGAGCAGGATACCTTGCTTTGCACCCGAGCTTGCGAATGAAAACACCACTAGTTGCTTCTTGTTACTAGTAGCGATGGCCTCCAACCTAACAGTGATGGCCTCCACCTACTAGCTTGTTGCTGCTAGTAGTTGCAAAATCCATTCTGCTCTACTGCTTGGATTCTTTTACCAAATGTATACCCATGTATATTGCATGTCCTTTTGTGAAGGTGGTCGTGAAGACTGTGAGGTGGGCAAGTCAAATGCGTGGTGCATTTTCTGGTAGACTATCCGCCTAGCCATTCTAGATGCTGGTAAGTAGGGATAGGGATAGGCTCTGATAGGTCCACTGCAAACAAGTTCTGAACATGTTCTGAACATATTCCTCTTGCAAGCAGGTCACGCGAACTGGTACAGAAAATGCACCCATGGCTCAAACAAAGTTTCCCAGGGGAACAAACGGTGTCCACAGATTTTGACCATGCGTATCCTGGATATCCTTACCTCCAATTTCTCCAATGTGACATTTTCATGACTGGGGGGTATGCATGAAGTGGCTTCCTGCCTTTCAAATATTCTCCAATGAACCGACTTCACAAGGCCGAATCTTGCACAATGCTTTCCACAAAGAAAAATCCTAATAGCGATGGCCTCCAACCTACTAGCGATGGCCTCTAACCCAATACCGAAACAACACGTCATCTGTGGCTGGCACAACGTTCTTCGCTCGATTGGCCAATTTCAAGGCATTTGCCTGCCGGAACGCCAAAGTTACGACATTTGGCCTGTGGTGTCATCAAGCTGATGCGTCAAAAGAAACCTCTCGTTTGAGCACGGTAGCAGCTAGTAAAGTCCAGGACCCAAGGCCCTCTAGTGTAGCCTTCGAACACGGCGAAAAAACCGACTTAGATTAAAAAAAACAACTAAAGATCTCAAAGTTGCCGGGCGTGCGGTCTCTCTGATGGTTGCGCTCGATGGTGAGCAATTCACATACATCAAAGCCTGCGCATTCAACGATGGGTGCAATGCTTTGATTCTCACGACATGATTCAGAAGGACGGCCCAAAACAAACAGTGGACATTAAAGGACCTTAAATAAAGAATGAACATCGAGGATATCACGCGTTCCATGTTGCTTGTTACTTTGGTTGAGGTTTGCTCTACAACGTTCGCATTCACTAGTCCCAACAAATGACAAAACCATGCAATATCGTATAATGCAAATGCGCTGCTTAGAAACACATATTCATACAAGGACAACATCGACGAAAGGATTCAAATATTGTTTTTGTCCTGGTAAGTTGTCAGCAGGGATTTGGGAACATGGAGTAGTCGCTTGAACACTTGGAGCTTCAAATGCCCTTGGCTTGGACCTTTTACATGTGCAAATCTTTGCAGCACTTGGTGCATTTGGAACTTTGCATTGTCCCCAGCGGCTTTCCTCCTGGACACAACACGGTGGTCTTTGCATCGCATTGGGCATTGGACATGACATGCGTCTGTGACGGACGCATCTGTCGGGTACACGGCACAAGTTTTCTTGCCCGCAATTGCCGACCGCACAACCCGATAATCTCATGCATTAGTCGTTTGAACTGCTGTGGAGAGAGGATGTGCCTATTTTGCAACCCAGAAAGGCTGCTGAAGGAAGCAAAACCGCAGAATGTCGGTTGGTGATGGTTGGTGTATATCTGGCCAGGGTGCTGATTCAAACGGGGGCTGCAAGCGTAGGTCGGAGCACTGCTATTCCAAACCTCTTCGCAAAATGAAGAGTTTTCGGGCTCACCCTTGAAACAATGGAGGCATTTTCTTTCCTCCGCTCCAATCACATGAGTGGTTTCATGTGGTTCCTATTGATGTTTCTGAGCATCCTTGGATGTTATTTCCTATTCTTTGTCAATCTTTGGCCCAAAACTCCTTATCAAAAGCTATATACACATATATTAGATATAGCCAACACAATTTTCCAATTTTGTACTTGACGAGCACCTAGGAATTGAGTTGTATGATGTGTTTTGTATTTTTTGTTGGGAATCAGCAGATTCATGAACTTACCTAGCCGTTGAAACAGAATTCATTAAACCAGTCATTTCCTTTTGATTTCCACCCTTTTGAAAGCCCAGCGAGGAGATTTTGGTATTTATATAGTTCCTCTAGCTTTCTGCCACTAAATAACAAAAAGTATTCCTTCCTTTAAAAAAGCCATTGCTGGAACATGTTGCATGGCATTCCTTCCGAATGGTCTAGCCTTGGCAGTTCCGCCAAGAGCATCTTGAAGTAGCTGGGTCAGCTTGTGGTTCCTCTCTTGTGAGGCATTGTGAAAAAATAAATAGTAGAAAAAACATAGACATGAAATAAGAAAAGGCCTCCTACCTAATGATAGCGATGGCCTCCAACCATCTCCAACCTACTAGCGATGGCCTCCAACCCAAATACATCACCAACAGCCAATGAAAACAGAGATCGAGCGAAGCAACAAAACCAAGAAAACAGTTGGTGCACTTTTTAACGCACAGACCTGATTCGAGTCAATGGAACATGGAACGCCACACCCTCCTGTACGGGATGTACTTCTTTTTCCTGGCAATTGCCTCGGTGACGGCTGGTGGCTCCAAAGCCACTTGACCGCACTCGAGCTCGATCTGCGATGCTTCGCCTCGATGACATCTCCCAAAGCTGACAAGCTCTTGTTGATCTCGATTGCTTCGAGCTTGCGATCTTGATCCTTTTCCACCTGCATCAACACGTGGAGAAAGAGAGCAAAGCAAACAAGCGGTGTGCATGTGTGGCTACTAGGAACAAGGACGCTACTAGGGGCTCCTGGCATCGCTACTAGGAACAAGGAGGCTATAGGGGCTCCTGGCCGTACTACTAGGAGCAAGTAGCTACTAGTAACAAGAAGGCTGCATTGTCCACCTCCGTCTTTTTCAAGCGCTCACACCCACCCAGGTCACAGAAGTGCCTGTCGGAAGGCGCCAGGACCCTAAGCCTTTGAATAGTCAAGGCATGTTACGTGTGGCACTTAGCTATATAAAGCTCCGAATGCTTGCAAGATGCAACTTGCTGGTGCGATCCGAGTCCTCTTTTGTTAGATAAACCTGGGTGCAAACATCTGCGATGGCCTCCGCCTCCACCCTAGTAGCGATGGCCTCCACCCTAATAGCAAAAGGAACCTAATAGCAATGGCCTCCAACCTACTAGGATGCTTGGCAAAATAGATTCCAACAAAACAATGCCATTTGTGATGCCAAAAGGGACTCAACTGGGAACATCCTTTCCAGAGTTGGGTATCCATCGTTAAAAAATATCGATTCAATTGGGAGTTACTCATGGACGCCGCCCGAAGTCCCCAAACCTTTCCTTTGACTTTTGATGCTCTCTGGCTTTGCATGATCATGTGTGGCGGGCGTTCAACTTGTCTCAGCCAGTCCCATCTCTCGCATCTTCTTCGAGCCACTCGGAGGGTTTATCTCAGTCTTGCAGTATTCGGCGAATTGCCAGAATGTCTTGCTGAGATCCCCTGCTGTGAACAGCACATGCGAGCGTGAGCTTTCCGCATTCATGGCATGTGCAGCGACTGCACGCTGTTCCAGTCCTCGCTGGAAGATGGCCTCAGCCGGGCAGGGCATGCAATTCCGTTAAACATTGCGATTATCTGATTGTCCGTAACCAAACTAATTCGTTTACCAGCTGTCATTACCTGAATCGTTAGCAAGTAGCAACGATTGAAAATAATCATGTCTACCTTTCTTCCCACTCTTTCAACCCGTATTCTCCCTCATGGTATGTAATATCCTATTTTCGAGTCAACGACGGTCGAGGTTAAACGGCACAACAAACATAAAGCAACAACCATGTGTAGGAGCAAGGACGCTGCTAGGAGCAAAGGGCATCGCTACTAGGAACAAGGACGCTACTAGAAACAATCTGAAGGGGAGGAAACGAACGACAGTTGATTACACCAGTTTCTGCCGCCTGGAGCTCATGCTCCTCGCTTGCCCTCTCTTTAGCGAGTCCTTCCACCTGCGCACGGGTCTTGAGCTCCCTGTCGGCTACCTAGTAACACACATTACTACAGTAGCTACTTGCTCCTAGTAGTACGGCCAGGAGCCCCCAGTAGCGTTCTTGCTCCTAGTAGCGATGCCCTTGCTCTAGTTACAAAAAAAGTCCAACCAAAAAACACGTTGTTGCTAGGCAGCCAGGGAGAAGCCATCATTGGTACAATGTGGACCCTATTGACATCTCCTGCAACTCCCTCCATGCCGCCCGAGGCCTGCACATTTCCGGATTTGTCCAACTTCATGCTCAAGGGTGGGTTCTGCCGCCCTGCCACGGAGACGGCGCAAACGACTTTAGCTACAACAGCTGCTCAATCCACTGGCGCTCTTGTCCAAAACATGCTCAGGCCAACCCTGCCAATCGATTGGCCGGAGCAAATCCACCAAATGATTGTTATAGAGCTCCATCCTGCAGAATGCCATCCGTCTCAACGTGCAGGTAATGCTTACCACAATGTCAGCAGTGTGTCTGGGCTTTGTGCATTGAGCCAGAGATGGTCACCTTTTCCTTAGCACTTCGGTCATGCGAATTGTTTCAAAGGCTTTATGATTGGGGTCTGGCATCGTTCATGTCTACCTGGCAGGGCGCACAGCTCACACATAATAAGGTTAACAAGAAAATAGAACAAACAATAAAAGGTCTGAGGGTAAAGAAGAACAAGAAAAGACCAACTCAGTGTCTACATGTGATTTGTCATCAGTGATCCCTGCCTTTCTGAACAGCTCGCTAATCATCCTCTGTGCCAATCCATCTGCTTCCGGAGCACCATACCTCTCAAGTAATATGATTCGTTGCGCGTTTCTTCCCAGTTGGTTGCTGCCGTCCAAACTAGTAACTAGTGCCGCACCACTAATTAGTTAAATGTTTTGGACAACTTGATCTGGGCGCATAGTGTAGGTCTTGCCAGCACCAGTGATGCCATAGCAAAAAACGGTCACCTGAGCATTGGCCATCTTGATATTCAATGATCTTCATGCGTTGGAACACGCTTTGCCACAGTGCCACAGGCCCTGGCATTGTGGCCATCAAGAGCCGACTGTGCCAAGTCACAGCTAGAGTCAAAAATGTCTTCCTCTCGTGCAAGCCGAGTAAAGGAGTGAGACAAAGTGAATGCACGCTTGCAACACTTTTGGAAGTCTTCGGTGACCATTCTAAAACTTTGGTGGCACTTACTACTCCTCAATGAGGCGGATCTTGGAAAATGCCTCGCAACCTTGCTTCCCTTGCCATAGCCTAGCGTCCTTGCTCCTAGTAGCGATGCCCTTTGTTCCTAGTAGCTTCTTGCTCCAAGTTTAGTAAGGCCAGGAGCCCCTAGTAGCGTCCTTGCCACTAGAAGACAAAAGAGACGAAACAAAGTGACAGCAGCGGAAGGCCTGAGAGCTGGAAGTGTCAAAAATGCCATCAAACTCGTAGGTATCTCCGGTCAAGGTCACCTCAAATATGCGCAGTGAATGTGGAAAACGAGCAACCTCCAATAGAGATGCTGCCTCGAGAATGTTGCCATCAACCTTCAGACTCTCCATCTCCTGTCAAAAGGTTGGAGATGAGAACATCACCTTCAGTCTGCACGACTTGCGAGATCGTTTTTAGTATATATTGCAGTATATAGAGACATACACAAAAGGGAAGAACCAAAACGGTGGACTTGGACCCCTTTCCAAACCGGCCTTGTTCTGTTTAGATTAAAAACAAGGCCCAGAAAGGCCATGACCCACTAGCATCCTAGTGGCTAGAAGGACGGGTAGTCAATCAAACTATTCAGTCTTGATCACGTACTAGCTACTACTAGTAGGTTCCTGCTACTAGTAGTAAGAATGCTCCTAGTAGTAAGGCCAGGAGCCCCTAGTAGCGTCCTTGCTCCTAGTAGCGATGCCAGGAGCCCCTAGTAGCGTCCTTG